CCAGTAAGTATCGATAAAGTTAAAATCCTTTTACATCTGATGAAACTAAAAATAAACGTCATAAACTTTTTAATTCTATTTATATTCATTTTTTATATACTATTATGTTTCAGTTATTCTATTTAAAATATCACTTATTTTTTATAATAAATTATTGGTCCACAAAAATTATAGAATTTGTAGAAATATTTCTTAACAATTGTTAATTCATTACTTATATTGCAATTTTTTGTCAATAGAAGCTTGTCAGAACAACAGTAAAACGATTTTGCGGATTGTGAAATCCATACAACAAATACTTTTGGATTCAAATTTATGCCAGTTACAAGAGGAAAATATTGATTTGGACTTGCCGATTTCTAATGTTAAAAATTTGCATGAATTTGAAAAAACACTCTGTGAAAATTCTGCTGCTCGATTGCAATATGTAAGTATTGTTTATTAAACTACTACATTGTTTTAAAAGATTATACCACATATTTTTTCCTTTTCTCATTTTTCCTAATTTTCTTTAGTCTTAGATTGACTATATTTAAAGCATTAACTTAATAGTTCTGAAAAATCGTTATTTAACGTGAAAAACTTTTTTGTACGTTTAAAATATTGACGTAACTGATCGTAACCGTTGCCGACAGCGTCGTAAACGTAAGTTGGAAACGTAATTCAACGCATAATGCTTGATACGAACGTTGGTCGTCTCCACGGATACTACGCGGATTGTGCATTGAACATCTCTGACTTACGTTTACGACCCTGTCGACAATGGTTACGACAATCTTTGTGCTTAGGCCCTAAAGCTTCTGGATAAACTTGCCGCGGCCATGTTAGATTGTGACGTTAGAGGCGAGCTGAAATGACATGCTGAAAATTCTTGCATGCCATTTTCAAATAAAAAGATATTTGGATGAAAACACTTCATCAGATTGCTTTAGCACACTTATAAAATGTTCCGAAAACTATTTTCTTCCCTTGACAGTTATTAAACAGCCATAAAACGAATGTGTATACAAAGCCTTTTGTATATAACTATAGGTTTCGTATCATATTCATTTTTTGGCTGTTTATTAACTGCCAAGGGAAATGGATAGTTTTCGGAACATTTGATAGATGTGTTACAGCGATCTGAAGTGTGTTTTCATCCAAATATCTTTTTATTGGGAAATGGCACGCGAGAATTCTCGGCGTGTCATTTCATGTCACGATTCTAACATGGCCGGCGAGAGCCCAGGAGTCATAATATTACAAGTTAATAATTTATAGATAAATTGAAACATAAGTATATTTTATATTTTTTCAGCAAAAAAAAATTCGGACAATAGGAGGTATAACCCCACATAAACATGCACGAAACGCTATGCGTTTAACGATAGCTAACCCGTTAGCTTACCAAATGACTTGGACCAGTAAAAAAAATAAGATAGAAACTCAAAACATGAAATTCATTAACCTCATTATTGGTATGTGCTTTATAGTATTTCCTATTTCTTTTTCTGCTAAAAATTTTTTTTATAATAAAATTTTTTAAATATTTTGAAAATTTTACAGGAACCCTTATTACTACTCGGAACATTTCCATCGCCGATGTGCAGAAGGTATTGAAGTCATGGTTACAACATGCCGGCCGTATATCTGAAAAAACAAAAGAAGAGATACAAAATGAACAAAACTGAAAAAGGTACATACAATACTTTCATAATATAATTTGTTATTTTAAGTATATGTGCTTTAAATGATCTATAATTCGTGACAGAATTCTATTTATAATTTTACGTATCGTGTAACACAGAAAACATTTGTAAACATTTTTTGAAAATGTTTGATACATAAAATTACAAATACAATTCTGTCTCGAATTATACATCAGTGAGGGCTTTACTAAATATATGTATACATTGTGACGAAGGCGACAGGGGAGGCGCAAGCGCGAGAGAGAACGCACTACCGGGTGCGAGCGAGCGCGACAACAGCGCAAGCGCGAGAGAGAACGCACTACCGGGTGCGAGCGAGCGCAACAACAGCGCAAGCGCGAGAGAGAACGCACTACCGGGTGCGAGTGAGAGAGCGATAGCGGCGCGGTTGCCGCATCAACTTAGCTGGCAACGCCGCGCCTGCCCCTGCCGTCTCTACCCCGCGCGCCTATACTCTGGGGGGTATAAAAGGCCCTCCGGAGCTGGCGACTCGCCAATTCGAGCGCGTAGCGAGATGTGCGCATAGCAATATCGATCGCCAGGCGGTCACATCTTGCCACGCGCTCGAATTGGGCGGTAGGCCGGCCTAAGACAACGATTTTTAATAATTAATTACTCGTTAACTATGACGAAAATTGCAAAATGGTACAGGACTTTTCCGTTCATCTCGATCCGTTCTACCTTCTCAAAAATTTTGTCGGATATGGAAAGACTCACCCTGTATATGGACATTTTTCGTATATGAGCATATATGATTATACATATATGGTCATATGTGAAAATTTTTTCCCGAGTCGTAGAGCCGAATTATAGGTATTTTCAGTGCACTCGAGATCGGTACAGTTGTGATCTTTATTCTTTTATCTTTATTTTAATTTGGAAGGATAGTTAGAAGGACAGTTATATGGTGTAGGCATCGCAGATTAGAGGTAAAATACAAATTTCTTTGAAATTCTACTACTTGAAACTTTAAACGCGTTTTTCTCGAAACCATGTTTTTCGAGATTGGCGTACCGCTAGCGCCTACAATTTTTATCCGATTGACTTGAAATTTTAACTGTAGCTTCAAAACATGATTTTCTAATGAACATCGTAGGATTTTTTCAAAAATAAAAATTTGACGATTCTACAGCCAATTTTCGAGCTATTTTTTCATAAAAAAGTGACCAAAAAAATTCAAATCGATGGCATTTATTTTAAAAATAATTTTTCGACAAAATCCTACGATGTTCACTAGATTTTGGCCCATATTTTAAGAAACAATTTTACCTTTTGCTCTAGCTGCAAAATTGCGACCTGTAGCGGTACTCCAAGTGCGGTCAACGAAAAGAGAGGCGTACTACTGCGAGAACTGACATGCCGCCATTTTGTGTTTAAAAAATCGGAAAAAATATTTTTTATGTACTTCAAGACATGTACTTTCATACGGACGAAACCGAATATGAATAAATCTTTTCATTTTTTTTAAATAAATTCAGAAATATGACCCTACTTTTTCAGCACACAGGGTGATATTACCCCTTAAAGGTGCGTTCGCGGAGTTACTATTAGCGCTAAAAAACCAGTCTATCTTCGTTACTCATTATGTCGAAGAAAGTTTTTGATCGATGTCAAAATGATGTCGAATCAATGTCGATTTGCCGATTTCGATATCGATCCGACATCGTTTCGGGTTCAATCGACGAGTCATTTCTCAGTCAGGGCTCTTTACAGACTAGCGCGACCTGCGCGACACGCGACGCGTGATATCCAAAGCTTTGTAGAAAAGCTGTACGCTCATTGGATATCGCGCGTCGCATGTCGCGCACACATATAGCGCTTAAAGTCACTAGATTAACACTAGTGACTTTAATAGCGCTGATCTGCAAGAGCCCTCACCAGTCACCAGTCTCCTTCCGATCTGTTCGGTCTCCTTATACATTCGCCATGATTTGAACAATACATCACGCGGCAATCGCACGGCAGGGACACATCCGTCCCTTTGACTATATAATCATGGACTGCTAGTTGGCTTTTTCGATCTATGCCCGATTTCTTCACATCCAGTTATGTTGCGGTTAAAGTTAAGGTGGTTCTTGCATTTAGGTCAAACCAAGATAACTCGAAAAATATGATATCAAATGAAAGATTAACGTTCCTACCCACAAAACAATATGTTATAAAAAAGATTTCTAAATGATATCTCATTTCTGAACCTGATAACTTATAGAGGCTTCAAAAATATAACATAAAGATGTCAGAATGTTCTCTAATGCGCCGGTTTTTGAGAACAGAAAGATATCATGAAAATGATGTCAAAAAGATTTCTCAAATCAGCTATCTTTAAGGTATTCAATGTTTGTCAACATATAGAGTTCTTGTTTATGATGTCTAAAAGATATTCTAATAATTTTTGGGGGAAAATTAATTTCTCATTATTATAATGTAATAAACATAAAATTTATTATACTGCACTATATACATAGATACAATATACAGTAGGTACAATATACAGAATATATTTCCAATGCCGTTCGTCGCGCCCGTCACCACCGCCCATTTTCCCTGCATTCGTAGATTGATTCCAAATCCAAGATTAGGAGCGATCAACTTCTTCCACGCCACAAAGTCGATTTTCACGACGATCCTCAAACCGGCGAGCGCTAATAACACTAGACATATCTTCTCCCACCAGAGCAGCGCCATTCTGAACTCAACCTCTACTGGCAATCGACTCCTCTTCTGCCGGTCCTCCCGATCATCGGATCACCCGACGATAAATAGTGAACTCCGTTCTTCACTGGGCGTGCAGCGACGTACTATAAAAGAATAATGTATATATTTAGTAAAGCCGGCTCACTGATGTATAATTCGAAACAGAATTGTATTTGTAATTTTATGTATCAAACATTTTCAAAAAATTCAGGTCTTTCGTAACGATCTAAACGTTCACCTATGTAGTCCAAGTGTTGGAAATAATCATTTGGAACTGCAGGAAACATAGATATCAATCATTTTACGCAACAAACTTGCGCGAGCACTTGTTAAGTAATTTCGCAATCGTTACCTTCCGTCGTCGCTCTGCAGAACATACATTGGAACCTTCGACCGGCGTCGATAAATTGTATGAACGGACACATGTAGGCTTTACAGCGTATGCAACGTACCGGTCCAATTTCGCCCATGTCTACAATCGGTGGTTCGCATTCCCCTTGCACGATACGGGCCATCGGACTTATCACGAGTCCGAAGGGAACATTGGTCTGCGTAAGATACGAATGCATCATGTGATCGATAACACCGAAATAAGAAAACCGACTCTCCGTCTATTCCAATGTACCTGCTTTATAATGTCGGTAGTGGTGGGAACGGTGTACATAGTGGACCTGATGTATCTGGGCGAGGTGTTTCCTTGATCCTAAGTCACGAAATTTGTCGTCACCAACGGCGGCACGAGACCTTTCTGATTCGTTATGAACACGCCGCCCCTCATATTTTGATTGTCTTGCATCACTTGGATCTACACATTAAAGGACACAGGCTTAGCTCGACTCGAGACAATAAACAACACCGGCGCCTAAACCGGATCGAAAAGGATCCAGCGTCCAACTCGTACCGGACTCGGCATTTGTTCCGGGTTAAGTCGCCTAGCTCGTTAAGGCTGCAATCCCGGTTGGTATCCCGTGGCATTCGGTGCGTTACTCTGATACAGGTTTCTCTGATTGTTATACATGTCCTGCAAAAGGAAGACAATCGTCACTCTTTTCCGAACAGTAATCTTAATTACTCGCAAGACGGCGGAGCGTTTCAAGCAATTGTACCATTTGGTTGTGATATCCAGGCTGTTGTTGGTACGCCAGTTGCTGGTAACCCGAGGTGACGCCAGGCGACGCACGGTTCATCCCCAGAGGACTGGCTAGACCTTGCCCCGGTAACGGAGGCATGGAGCCGCCGTACTGCTTCTGGCCAGGTTGCGACAAGCCCGGCCCTACGGGACTCGTCAGACTCTGGCCCGGCATCGGTGGTAAATACTGCTTCTGTCGCGCCTGAGGGAAACCGGGCCCCGGGGGACTCGCCATGGGTTGCCCCGACGAGAGAGGCGCAGGAGGAGGCGGAGCGAACTGCGACGGGTCTGGATCTGCCGGGCTCGCCGCGACTTGTGACGGCAACGGCGGCGGCGGCGCCGAATTGTACGGCGGCATCCCGGACTGGAGCAGGTTGGCGTGTTCTGTATACGTCCTATATAGGACGTATGAATAAGCAACGGATGGAAAGAATCGGAATTGTACCGTCGACGAAATAACACAATGTAACGGTGATCAAATGGTGCGAAAGATTATCCGAAGATTGTATTATTGCACTATAGATTTAATATATACTTACCTCTTTGCGTAGAGAGCGAGACAAACAATGTGACTGGTTAACAAACTCACCATAAACTTTTCAATATAAAATGTCGTGTTCTTCTTTCCAACAAAAATCATTACGTGTCTGTTCATCCGCGGACAGCTTAATACTGCAAATTTTAAGGGTTATGTGTGTTTCTTGAAAATATTTATATCTTTGTAATGACATCAAATGGATTTCTCATTAAAGATATCATTATGTTATCTAGTTTCTGAGCCGTTTGTATATATATTGCGGCGCATGCGCATTTGGACGGTTCAGAGACCAGACAACATTATGATGTCTTTCATGAGAGTTTAAACTGATATCATGTAGCATGATATCATAAAGATAACATTTTTAAGAAATGTCACAAATGAGATATCTCAAAGAGCTCTCGTAGTAGATGCCTCTAGTAAATGATGATTATCAGATACCATTTTGACATAATTTCCAAGATATCTAAATGTTTTCTTGAAAAAGTTCTCTTAAAGTTTTCATTCTGACAAGCGTGTTGTCTGGG